ATAATTGATTTCTCTCTCTCGTCCTTTTTCTCCCCATCCATCTCATCTGTCCCGATAATAATGCACTCTCAGCTATAAATATGTTATTTTAAGGGTGTAAAATACAACAATCACAAAGCATCTAAAAAATTGCGATCATTTACTGGTGGTAGTACGCTACAAATATTTCAGTGCCTAATATCAGAGCATCATATCGCAGTGGAGAATTGTGTATGTCAAAGTATAGCCTTATATTAGACCGAAAAAAAGCAATTTCAGGGTATTTTGGAAGTAGCTGGGAATTTAAAACCAATTTTTCAAACCATGCAAAAGAGTGAAAAGTAATGGAAAGTCATGGAAATGTCTGAAGTGAAGATGCATTTTGTAGTTGCGCTACGCTCTAAATATTTAATCAGCTGGATATTGCTCTTCTGTAGAGTAAAACGCGCTCACATAGTGTTGTCTGAACATTACAAATCATTGCTTTGAGTCTTTCTTTTGAATGAATCTGGTTCACAATTTGGTCTTAATGGTTCATTAGCAAATCAGTCTAAATTAGACTGTTGTTTTGTTTATTTTAATTTCATATGTAGTAACCACAGATGAATAGAAAGGTTGTGCTAAATCCACTGGTCATTAACACGAGCAGATCTAAAAGAGTTGCACAGCAGAAATAAATGCTCTGCTTTACTGCGTCTATTCAAAAAACCGAACTATAAACACCCACGTTTATACACTCATGCAAACATGCTCCTCACAACTAGAAATTATTCTAACAGGCATATTGTAGAGTACAAAGTGAATTCTTTCAGATTGTGCAACACTTAAGGTTCAGTCATAACACTGTGGTTTATTTTGTGAAATCTACTCAACTAATGCCATAAGCCATAGACACACCCAATCCTTTGCTCCCATTGGCTGAGGAACATGCTGAGGGGTGTGGCTACAGTCTAAGCTAACAAGTCGACCACTTGTACATATGTGTTTGTTCCTGTCTGTTATACACGTGTGTGTGTGTGTGTGTGTGCATGTGTGTTTTTGTGACATATGAGGACACAAATTTGTATAATGACATGGGTATGACATAGGTATTACAAGAAGAAGGTGACTTATGAGGACTTACCCCATGTCCCTATTTTTCAAAAGGCTTATAAATCATACAGAGTGAGTTTTTTTGAGAAAGTAAAAATGCACAAAGTTTCCTGTAAGGGGTAGGTTTAGGTGTAGGGCAATAGCACATACAGTTTGTACAGTATAAAAACTATTACGCCTATGGAATGTCCCCACAATTCACAAAAACAAACCTGTGTGTGTGTGTGTGTCATACCCAGAGAAACAGAAGGAACGACTGGATCAACAGGGGAAGATTTGGCTTTCACTGGAATAGGAGTCATGGGTCCATTTACCATTGTGTGACCTGTGGAGAAAAAAAGCAGATGTTTAAACACAAATACACTCACACACATTTAGGCTATCACAGGTGCAAAACAATGATGAATGTACACACAGACACACACACACTGACCCAGATAGTGCAGGAGTTTCTGGGCTCTGTTCTGTGTAGGTTTGAGGTTGAAAAGTTCTTGGTTCCCATCAATAAACTGGGTGTCAACTGTGGCGTACAGGAACTGGCTATTGCTCAATACATTCTGCAGGAAGGGGATATTAGTCTGAAAGAGAGAGAGAGAGAGAGAGAGAGAGAGGTTTAGATAATCACCCGACAGTCAAAGCACAAGCATATATGCAATATGTGTGGCATTAGGCAATAAAGCAAGTAAATTCCGACATTTACCAAATATTAATTACCTGAGAAAAAACTCAGCGGTTGCTGAGATGTTCTGAGTGCAATTATGTGCTGCTATGGTGTTTCTATACAGCCATTAAGTTGTTCTAAGTGGTTTTAGAATGTGGTTATGTGGTTGCTAGAGTATTGCTATATAGTCACTAAGTTGTGCTGAGTGGCCTTAGAGGAGGCAGGGGCAATTCCGGTCCTGTAGAGTTTAGTTCCAAATCTAATCAAATACATCTGCATGTAATCCAAGTAATCCTGAAGACTTTGGTTAGATTTTCAGGACTGTGGTTCTCCAGGATTTTTTTTCACCCATCTAATCCTAAGTATGAGCAATAATCATTATATTTTTCTTAACAAATACCACTTATGCCAACAAACAAACAATCAAATACAATGCAGAATATTATTGTGATGCTAACGAAGAACAAAGCATCAAGATGGACTGGGGCCCATAATTGTCCACTCCATTGGCAGCGTTGTTTAGTACTCTCATAAGCCGTGGGAAGTTTGCATTGTAATCTGTATTGTCTGAAAGCACTGATGGCTTCTATAAATGCATTAGCATTTCAGACAGCTGCAGTTCAGGCCATAATGGAGCTCCTGCACTGGAATAGGCCCCTAGACTGCAGCTATCAAAACAGCAGTGCACACCGCTCACTGCACCAATAAACACTATTTTAGCGTATGCAATGGGGCATGAGACAGGAATGTGTGTCGTATGACAGAAAGAAACAAGTGCAAAGCAAGTACAGAAAAGAGATGGGGGTTTGTGTGTATTTTTTATGTGACATACGAAAAGAGATCGAGAGAGTGTAAAGAGACTACAGGAGAGACAGAAAATGATGTCAAAGTAAGAATATAAAAAGATCTTGTGAAAAAGGCAATGTTGTTAGATCTGAATTCAATTCCTTTCAGAGCCGACTACACTGACTGACACTTTGTCTCTACTATGTTGCCAGTATCCCTGTAAACACACTCACAGGAATGCCATCAACACACATACGTCACACACTGTGTTCGACAAAGGGATCAAAACCCAATTACCAAGAAAAACTTGAGAGAAAATAGGGGATTTCTCTAGAGGAATCGAATGGAAGCCGAGGAGTTAATGGAGGATTTAATGCAGTTTCCCCTCCTATTCTTCTCCTGCTTGGATCTAATGTGATGAGTGATGAACAGTTAGGAAAAGAGCAGTCCGAGAGAACACAGATGAAGTGCTAAGGAAAGTTTTGAAAAGTCATGGACGAGAGAAGGACTGGGAAAATCAGGGTCAAATTCAGTCTCTGTCTTTGCTTTTTTGGCCTCATTTAACAGTTTGGCTTTCACAGCAGTCTTATCTCTCTGTTTCTTTCTAATTGTTTTCTGTTTAATCATGTCCATTTTTTGATAGGGAAGCCTCCAATTTCTCTATGCATCTTGGTCATTATTATTTCTGCTCCTTGATTCTATTCCAGTACATTCCACTGAATTCAATTTTGTTTAACTACTTATTTCTGTTTGGTTCAACATGACTCAGTTTGACTCATTACCCTTGATTCAATTAACTTATTATTCCTGGTCTTTGATTCAGTTTCAGTTTGACTCAGTTCAGCTTATTCAGTTTTTTTCTTTTACTTCTTATTTAATTCAGTTTGGTTCAACTCTTTATTCCTGAGCATTGATTCAATTTTGTTTGATTTGACTTGATTTGACTTATTATGCCAGATAACTAATTCACTGCCATCCAGTTCTGTCCAGTTGAACTCAAAATAATCCATATGAATTGAGCAGTAAACATTAATAGAGCTCATCAAATATGGTAATCATGGAAACTCAACAATATTTGTGTGATGCAGGAAAACAAACCTCATTGGTTCTTGCAAAAGTTTGAACATGCATGAACTTCCGTATTTAATGTGCTTGATTTATGTTCATTACATAAAGCAATCATGTCTCTTCAGAAGATTGGATTATGCAATTAAATCTGTAGTGTATGCTTAATGTATGTATAACAAACAAGACATTCTAATAATTAGAAAGAAAACGTGAGTGAGCACGTTATAATCTGCAGAGAAATAAGAAATTCTAGTGATATATCACAACTTGCTGAAGTCCATTATTTCCAGCTGTCCATCTGTTCTGTGTTCAGGAACCAAAGCCAAAAACCGACTGATATTACATCAAAGACAGATCTGAACCCATATTACACATACTCTCTCTCTCGCTAAATGTTAGATAAGCTGAATATTTGTTAAGCACTTCAAACTTCCAAACAGCCCTGTGGCAAAGTGTGCCTATTTCAAACAGGTCTGTGACTGTCCACAATTTCTTTATTTGCACAAAAAGCAACACACACAAACAAACAAATGAACAAATTACAATGAATGCGCACAATTGCATGCAAAATAATGGTCAGAGACAGTTTAATGAAAGACCTTTATTTGTCTGTCTAGCGGGGTGTGACAAAGCAAAGTATAGTCCTGTCAAAGTAATTGACATCTGTTCAAGAACAAACACAGTTCTTGAAAAAAATTTAAAATGCACAACCAAAACACACATACACATCCTTACTGAATGTGTGAAGCCATTAGTGCATGAATAGAGGCCTGTCAAGTAATCCATCGTTCCATCTATCCATCTGTCTCTCTCTTTTTCTACTAAACTGCAAAAGCATACAAACAGAGATGGTAAACAGAAAAACAACATTCATGTCAAGACATACACCACAAACTTTCAGTGCAAAGCAAATGCTGCGCTTATACCATGCGCTGTCTGTGGTGCTGAACAGAGTTTGTGTGCACGAGACAAAACAAGGAAGAGTCTCTGTGATTAATTGTCATTGTTTTTGATTCGTATGTGGTATGGCAATGGTGTCAATGTGCTATGACTAAACGTGTGTGAGGATGGGGGAGGAACTAAATATAGAGTAACACAAAACACTCTCACATAGACAGACTCAGATGTGTTCAGTAGGGTGGGGGTGGAGGCCCTTCTGCATAGTGTGAAAATAAATATTAGTTGAGTAATATGGGCTTTTCAGTAGCCTAATGCAAAACCCAATACAGTGGCTCCAACATTATTAGGACACTTAAGCCACTTTTACAAATTTTTTAATGTCTTTGCAGTAGATAAAGACATTATTAGGGATGCACCATATAGCAATACCATATCAGTCATTAGTGGATATTTGGGATTTATTATTATTATTATTTTAATGATTTTGGTTGATACTGGGTATTTAATTGTGAACACTTATAATTGAATAACATCATTAAATGTCATCTTTATTTCTACAAATTAATTTCCATTTTTCACCCTGTACCTTGTAATTTTGTGATGCCTAAAATCATTTGTAACATTTATAACTACTGATTTTATTTTTAGCTTGCTTAATTTGACCTTTGTTACACACACACACACACACACACACACACACACAGGTTTGTTTTTGTGAAAAGTGGGGACATCCCATAGGCGTAATGGTTTTTCTACTGTACAGACCGTATATTCTATTGCCCTACACCAACCCTACCTCTAAACCTACCCCTCACAGGAAATTTTTCAATACACTCCATTCTGTGTGATTAATAAGCGTTTTGAAAAGTGGGGACATGGGATAATGTCCTGAAAAGTCACCTTCTCCTTGTAATACCTATGTCATACCCTTGTCATTATACAAATGTATGTCCTTATTTGTCACAAAAACGCGCACACACACACACACACACACACACACACAAATATTGGTGCATCATATATTTATATTTTTCAATATATGTATCCAAATATCTGCAAATAATGTCTGTTAAACAGGAAAGTTTCTTCCACTGTTGTTTTGACTTAGTTGGTTGCCTTTTTGAATGATCCATTGTGTTGCTCCTTAGTTATGGATACAAGCTGTTAGAACTAGCACACCTTGCAGAACTAGCACACTTTGCACCGCACACACACACACACACACACATACACACACACACACACACACACACTGCATTCTCTAATCAACTGAACAAATGGGGTGCGTCACATCTGAATAGTCTTCATTTCTAATAAACCTCATTCACAATAAACACACATACACACATATGCATACCTACACAAGCTGCTTTCATAGGATGGCTGCATGGATGCTGTATATTTATTATTAGTCTGGAGTGTTGATGTGTTGTTGACGTCTGAGTCTGTTTTTAGTGGCGTGTCTGTGTAAATTTGTTTGAGTGTTGTGTGGTATTGACTTGTGCTTGCTAGAATGTGGCCACCATTTTCAATATCATTATGGAAATAAATCAGCCAACAGATATTGTGAAATGCTTTTTAAAATGAAAAATGACACCAATGAAAATATAAAACTCTCTTAAGATAACACCATTACATACTCTCTCTCTCTCTCTCTCTCTCTCTCTCTTTCTCTCATTACTTGCTGTGTGTTTGCCTTTAACTGGGTAAATTTGAAGGCTGTTCATAACTCATCTATTCCAATAATAACTAATAAGACAAGACAAATATAGCAGGCAGAGATTGAGAGAGGTTCCCAGTGATGTCACAGCTAGATAAATCACACACACACACACACACACACACACACACGATGGTTCTCAAACACACATTTTCTATCTCCCTCTATTTCCTTCTATTTCTCAGATATACAAATATCACAAATGTTTGTTTTTCATGATGGAGACTTCCATTGACTTCTATTGATTTAAATTATATTTCCCATCTTCTAAATCGAACCGTCACAGAAACAGAAATTACAAAATGACCAAATTTAGTATATAAAGCCGATTTCCTCAAGGGGGCCATTTTATGCAGGCGATTTAAAGTTAAAGTAAAAAAAGTAAAGTAAATCTTTTGCAGGGACAATTGGAGCTCAACAATGTAGGAGAAACATTATATACAATATATATATATATATATATATATACAGCCACATTCATTCAAACACAAAATGAACTGCAATAATAATAATAATATATTATGTTATTATGTCTTCTATATGCCATGTATAAACAATGTTAAACACCGTAAGAGTGTTTGGGAGTGAAAATATCTTATTAACAGCAGGTAGCAGTAAAGGCTATATCAATCCTCTCTGCGTTTGATATACATCTTTATTTCCTTCCTCTCCATATCACTCTCTTCCATCCATTTCTCCATACTTAGCTCTTCCTTCTGCTTCTCTAACATCTCTTCATCTATCACTCCCTCACTACCCTGACCATCACACTCAGCCAATACTGCTGGAGGCTGTCCATCTCTCTCTCTCTTTTAGCCCCCTCCCTCACTCCCCGTATCAGTGCGTGTAGTCGACACTCACTCCTTAGTCGCTTGCTGGCTCGCGCAAACGTCTCAGCTGCTTGCGAAAGAAGAAGAAAAAAATAAGAGTAGAAACCAGAGAAAAAATGAACTAGGAGCAAATGAGAGAATTATGCAGGGGAACTGCTAAAAATATCTAGCAATACAAAAGATCTGTCATTTTTCCTCTCACGTTCGCTCTAATTTTTCTTTTTCTGTTCTGCTGTACCCTGGATACCTGACCGGCAGGATTAAAAATGACTTAAATTTCAATCAACTGTGGCAGGAGAGAAAGAAAGAGGGATGAAAAAAGAGGAGTTTGTCCTCTGAAGAGATTCAGCAGCACACAGCTGGTGAGAACGAGGGAGTGTTAGACATAGAGAGAAATCAAGAGAGGGAGGGAAGAGGACCGGAGTCCAAAAGAGAGAGAAAGAGGGTCTTGTTTCGCTTTTAAGGAAGCCAGGAGTCGGATCGCCGTTTCCTGCAGGATTACTCGACTGGAAATGCTGGAAAAGCAGGTTTGTGGGGATGCGTTTGTGTGTGTATGTGTCATTTCAATGATATATTTCAAAACGGATATTGAGAGTAAAGAGGAAAAAAGACATTTCTGATAAGGAATATAAAAAAAAAAAGAGAAACGGATGATGAGACAGAGAGATGATGCTTAGTTGAAAGCTTGCCAGTCTGTATGATGACATGCCTGACGCCATACAAAACAGCTGCTTAACTCCTCTTTCTCTCTCTCTGTCACACACACACACACACACACACACACACACACATACACACATTAACTAGTAGTCACAATCTCACATACAAAGCAGCACACACGGTCACCGCACACACAGATTAAAAAACACTCTGTCTGCATCTGTGACTCTCTTGATGTGCGCACGCACACACACACACACACACACACACACACACAGGAGGTGTTTAATTTGAATGCTGTCTCATGTGCTGTCTGTGACGCGCTCAAAATGAATGACAAGCTGAAGAGGACACAAAAATAACTAGAGATGTGTTTGTGTGTGTGTGATAGAGATGGAGCAGAGAGAGAGAAGGTGAGAGACAAAATGACAAGAAACCACTTTGGTGACATTTCCAAGAGGGATCAATGTTTTTTGCAATCGGACGAGGTGAGAAAACATGGAAAACAGTGAGAGACAGAGATGACTAAACAAGAGAAAAGAGGAGTCTAGAGGAATTTTTTTTCAGAAGTGCAAAATGGAGAGATGACATCAGGGCTAGTGTCCTGAGCCCTGTGACGGGGGAGGGCTACAAGGGTTCTAATCACTTGACCCAAGGGACAGTGGGCCCAATTAGTAGTGGACTCTGTGCATTTCAGTAGCAGCCCTCGATGACATCAGAAGAAGCATGCAATTAAATATTATCTCTCCCCACAGGAATTAAAATCCCAAATGAGATCTTGATGGCAAGTTAAAAGCAGAGCAAATATTTGTTAATATTTGCATTTCTACTCAGGAATTTTAGAAGAAACATCTGTGACAACAATGAACTATAACTCATTTAACAAACGACAGTTCAATTAAGTCCCATTAAATTGTCTTCAGGGTTTCAGTTTCAGTATCTCTGTGTATGTGTAACAACAACAATTGAAATAAATATTTTTTCCCCTTTTTTCTTCCTCCCTCTCATTCCATACTCATCCTCCCCATTCAGTCATCCCTCCCTCCCATCGTCCCCTTTTTTCTCTGCGCTTGGGACATTGTTTTGCCGTGAGACATAAAGGCCTCAGAACTGGCAGCTCACTGGAATTCGACACTGAAAGATGAATGGAACAAACAACTAAAGAGGCAAATTGCATGAAAACAACACTCAGAGCAATTTGGAGGAGAACACAAACAAGGTGCACATCTGGAATAAGGAATAAACAGACTGACAGAATGTGAGAGAGTGAGATGAGAAGGTGTTAAAGGGAAAATGAATGATGAAAAGGAGTAGGAATTGAAGGTGAGAGGAAGATAAAAACAGCAGGATCCTGGAAAATAGAGGGAAAAAACAGCTGGAAAGAGTCAAAAGTGGAAGAATATGGTGAGAATCTTAAAATGCGTTCAGTGCAAATGTGAAATTGCTGGTAGGACCTAAGGCCAAAATGTTTCACAGCAGGAACATTTTAACTAGGGAAGAGCATATCCCAGTGCATATCCCAGATACGAGTGGAATTGAGAGTCTGACTCAAGTTAAATCCTCATGTTTGCAGTGTGTGAATGGACACAGAATAAACACATAAGCACACATGGACACTCCTCTACCTTGACAAGGGATAAACACCTCAGTCTGGATTAAAACACACCTCAGAAATTTCAACACATGCAGATAAATACCTGGAAATGAGCAGCTAATTGAGCTGGAATCAACACAGACAATAAAAAGGTAAATACTCTCACTCACACAAATGCACATATATACTGACTAATGGACAAGGCAATTGACTGACCTGAGATGAAGGATGCAGGGCATGAAAATCTTTACCTAGCTTTTGTATGCACAGTCCTGTTCCACATACTTCAGCACACACAGTGGACCATTTTATCTCTTAGAGGTTACTCTTTCAGAACTCAGGAGACTTAATGGTGTTCTGAGTTTCATTTAAGTATCGATTTTGTCTCCAAAATAAAAAATAAATGAGACTAATGGCTGGCATACAGCTTTTTCATAGCCATAGCAACACTGGCTTAACCAATGGCATGAGTTTGAGGTAGGGAAATCTGTTTGCCAGACCAATGGCAGACAGCAGTGTTCTGGAAACATTATTTTTCTATTTCTGTTTGCTGACACATAAATTCTACACTTCACATTTAAATAAATCTCATTTGTTATTTCCTTTCTTATGCTTCTCTTCCTGTCTGAAAATATGTGTGGTGTGGTGTTTTTGAGGAAGAACTAGATGTTGACCTTTTGTAGTCATTTAAACAGCTGTAAATTTGACAATGCCTGACTGGACACACATGAATGGGTCAGAGAACAACATTCTGCTCTAGACACGGTTATGATTGCACACAAACACCTCACTCCATCCAGTGAAAGACAGATGTGTATATTCAGTTATTCATGGAGCTCAAAGTATGTTGTGGGCCATTTATTGTTCTACCTCTTTTCACTCTTTTCCCTCTTTCTCCCTCATATCCTTGCATAAACAAGCACATATCCAACAGCAGCTAATGCAGTGACACAACACAAGAGAGATTGATTTTACAGTGCTATAATGACAACACATGCATATACACACACAAAAACAGCTGAAGAGCTCTAGTGCTCTCTATCCAGAGTGCATGCTTCTCTATGCATATTCATGTGCACACATTACACTTTACACTGAACTACAGCCTTTATCGTTCTGCCTCTCACAAGCTGGTGTATTATCTCTCTCTCTCTCTCTCTCTCTCTGTCATTATTAAGTGTGAGAGATGTTGCTTTAAAAGTAGCATGCATTCTCGTTGTAACCATGCCTACATCAATACCACCACTTCATAATTTAAGGACCACCCCATAAACCCTCTTCAGTACTTTTGTCTATTTATTCATATTTTTTCTCCAAGTCCTTTTCTCTGAGTTATCATTTCTTCTCCTCAATTCAAAGAAAGGCCTGAATGTTTACACACAACTAGATTTGACATTTCCCCATCTATTTATTTTATTATTTTTAACCTGACTTAAGATAATTGTATTCTGGCTTCCCTTCCTACCTTGACAGTTTATTCACAAAGGTCTAGTCTATCCAATCCAATCCAATCCAATCCAATCCTATCCTATCCTAATCTTCCTTTCCTTTCCTTTCCTTTCCCCTTCCTTTCCCCTTCCTTTCTTTCCTTGCCAAACCTTTGTGTCCTACCTTCATGTCTATCAACTCTCTCTCTATTCCTGAGTATGTCCCTGCAGCAGCATTATATAAACTGAACAAGTTCATTAGCAGTTAGCTTGTAGCTGTGCAGGAACAGCAGATTCTGATGACAACAGATCATGCAGAAGAGAGAGGTTCTCACTGAGCATGTAACATTGTGCTAAACTCTACGCGGTGATACCTATACCAGTATTTCACCAACCCTGCTTGGGGCAAAATAAACTCAGTGGCAGTGTATGCTGGTGAGGGGCTGGTCCAGATGGTGTGCCAGCGGAGACATGCTGTTCACCAGCAAATCCTAACTTGTGAAGCTGGACAACTAAGGTGGCCTTAATGGTTAATTTAGGCATAGATATTTTTATTTATTAAAGTCTGCATGAAACGGAGACAAAATGGAGGCAAATCTGAATGCCAGTTTGCAGTTAGTTGTGGGGGGATTTCTCTCCACTGGATTCTCATTGGAAGTTGGGGCGTTGCTAACAAAATGGAGGCAAATCTGAATGCCAGTTTGCAGTTAGTTGTGGGGGGATTTCTCTCCACTGGATTCACCGCCGACACCCTAGCATAAATTTTTTTTGCTCGCGTGTAAAAATAAAAATACAAAAAATAAATATAAAATAAAATATAGAACAAGTAAATAAGGAATGCAATATGCAAATTGACAATTGTATGTACAGGTATATTACAATAGATAGTTTTGTATGTACAGGTATATTAGTGCAAACTGAAGTCCACAAACAGTATCCTCACATAAGTCCCTGGTCCCTGAGGATCCAGCAAGGGTCTAGTAATGTCCTTCAAGTGGGCCAGCACCAGTTTTTGAAAAGACTTCATGACCACAGACGTTAGAGCCACAGGCCTGTAGTCATTTAATCCTGTAATTTTTGGTTTCTTTGGGATGGGGATGATGGTGGTGCCCTGGTGCTTTTTTTCCTTTTCTGCTTCCGGAAGACCTGGCACACATCGTCTACACTGATTTGAAGTGCAGGTGTGGGGGATAGGGGGGTTGCAGGAGGTGTTAATGGTTGTGTGGAGAGGTGTTCAGGGCGGGTGTGGGGTGTTTTTTCAAACCTGCAATAGAACTCGTTCAGATCGTCTGCCAGTTGTTGATTCTCCACAGTGCTGGGGGATGGTGTCTTGTAGTTGGTGATCTCTTTCAGACCTTTCCACACTGATGCTGAGTCGCTGGAAGTGAACTGAGTCCTTAGTTTTTCAGAATAATTCCTCTTTGCCACTCTGATCTCCTTTTCCAGTGTGTATTTGGCCTGTTTATACAAGACTTTGTCCCCCTTCCTGCGAGCATCTTCTTTGGCCTGACGGAGCTGTCTGAGTTTTGCAGTGAACCATGGTTTGTCGTTGTTGTAAGTTAAATGAGTCCTGGTATGAATGCACATATCGTCACAGAAACTGATATAAGATGTTACAGTCTCTGTGAGCTCGTCCAGATCGGTGGCAGCAGCTTCAAAAGCACTCCAATCAGTGAGGTTGAAACAGGCTTGTAAATCCCACTCTGCTTCATTAGTCCATCTTTTTACAGTCCTTAATACAGGTTTAGCTGATTTCAGTTTCTGCCTGTAGGTCGGTATAAGATGAACTAAACAGTGATCAGAGAGCCCCAAAGCTGCCCATGGGACAGAGTGATATGCATCCTTT